AATAAATAAAATTACCTTTATCAAATACTACAAATTTGATTATTTAATTTTTTAAACTACATAATAAAACAAACAATTAACAACAAACTAAACCATTTTTAATATGTTTTTTTTAATTAAAAAAAAGATCTTAATAGGCAACTGTAAATTCATATAATTTTACAAAACTCTTATCATTGTAAAGCTTTGTTTTATTTTCCCCAAATTTGATCTTGTTGGTTCCAGATAGATCTACAAGAATTTATAGGTAACAGTTTTTAGAAAGGGGAATGAATACAAACACTCACTTTTTAAAATCTTTTAGCAAGCACTTATCTAAACAATCTTGGATGCACACAAGTTACAAAAGAGCAAAAGAGAAAGTGTTTGCTTAAGAATGTGTTGTTATTTGCTTGAGTAAGCTTAGCTTCGCATTGAGAAGAGAGTCTTCTCGACTATTTATACTCATTGCATTTGATGCAAGTCAGAGAGTACAAAGCAAGTGGCAAACTTTTAGTAGAAAGTTTGTCATTTGCCTTCAGATATACATGTTTTTAGTCGCATATGAACAGTAGTATTTCACAAAGTAGGTAAGCACGATTGAAGACAACAGAGTAACTCCATACATGTGCTTTATTGTATGAGATATGTGATTGCCCTTTGTATGCAGGAGGATAAAACAAAAACTAATCTTATAGAGCAAGATTCATTTGATCGGAAACATTGGCTTAATTGTAGACTTTCTTTAGTGTTTGTTAAATCTTAATTAGGTTTCACACTTGATGTAGACACGCTTGTTATCACCGAATCCGCTTCATATCACGAATTGTTGTCTCTATCTTAGTTATATCTTCAACATTGCTGAAAATTCCTTTTGTGTGAGTTTTGTTTTCTTGAAGAATACTTGTCCTTTAAAGAAGTTTACAATACAAGTTTAGTGATCACTAAACAGACTCAGTAAATCGTTGAAACTGAAAAAATAGAACTAAGTATTTTTCGCTAGATATAAAAAATCATCATCAAATCACTGAAAGAGTTTAGATCAATAGATCCTTTTAAAAACTTAACATTTTGTTAACTGATATTAGTAAATAATATTGGTGAAGTTGTTTATTGAGTTTTATATATTTTATCGATATATAAAATTATTTTTGAAATTTAAATAATAAACAAATTAGAATTATCATATAATTT